AATGTTGTAATAAGAAACATTAGTAGAAGTCTAGAACAAATAGACAGAAACAAGATTATTAAAAAGAAGAATGCAATGTGGATAATGAAGATTAAAGACCTTGTCAAAACAAAAAACATTTAGATAGATTTAGTTAAAGTGAAAATTCATAGTAAAAGTAGATAGAATGATAAGGCTGATAGTTTAGTAAAGAAAGGAACAATGAGTAGAAAAATAATACAGGCTAAAAAAGTCAATTGTAAAGAAATAGAATACTACCTAGAGTAAGAAAACAGACAGACTAACATACCAGCCAGACTGCTGTGCAAGTTAGTAGAAAATATAAGAATAGGAGCAGAATGGAAAGAAACAAGAGCAGTTAAAGATTTAGAGCCAAAAATAGAAGCCACAATTTATGATTGAACTTATTTTTGAAAAAAGCTAAAGACAACTAAGGGAATACACTGCACAACAAGAAGAAGCAGCTTCAGAAGAAGTGCATTTATTAAGTGCATAATAGATAAGCTTCTAACTCTGAAAGAACTCAACAGAAGAAGACCAAATATATACATAACAGTAGAATGCCAAGTATGCCAAAATAAAGTAATAGAAATGCAAGCATACTTGGCAGCATGCAAGAGACAAAGAAGCTTTGAAAGAGAATTCAAAAAGTGATTATTGCAACAATGTAAAAGAAATTAAAAGAAGAAAAAAAGATCCAAATTCCTTTACATGTTTTATATACAGCACTCTTTAGAAAAACAGAAATGAAAGAAATCAAAATAAGAAAAGCACTAATAAAAGGCCTAATCCCAAAAGAAATGCAAGACAAACTGGCACAGCTCTTAAATTCAAAATCAAGACAGCAATTTGCAAATACAGTAGCAATAACAGTCTAAGACACATTTTATGAACAAGTATGAAGAATACATTGTGAATAAATTATTGAATAGGAAGAAAAAATTGGAATAACAGTAAAATTAAAAGGAAGAAAGGTAAAAAGCTAAAGGAACCAAAAAATGAAAAAAGGCAAATCAAGAAAAAATAGAAAAAAAGAAAGAAGAAATAAGAGAAAAAGAAAAGCAAGTTGAGAAGGAAGTAACAAAAACAATTTTGGGGCTTGTCATAGAAGGAAGAAGACTCTTTCATTCCATTATGGACTTTAAGTAGTCAGACAAACAGCTTACTTCTGCTTGAAATAATGCAGCAGATTGCATTTAGGTACTAGCAAGGTGGCTGGGTGATGCTAGACTTAGATATTAGGAATATTTATGTAGTTATAAATGTAATTCCAAAAGCTTAATAAAGTACTAGCATGACTGCTTATATGTCAAAAAAAAATTTTTTTTATTTCAAATTCATACTTATATTTAAATTTGTTTATAGAATTTTATATCTGATTAATAATTTTAATAAGCTATAAAGACAAAATTGCTTTTAGTTAAACTTAAAATATTAACCTTGTCTATAAAGGGTTTAAAAGCTTATTTGTTAAGCTATAAGATAACCAATTATAATTTAAGATTAGATGTAACATATAATTAATTTTTTATATAATAAAAATAATAAATTTTTAAAAAATTAATTATATTTTAAAATTTTAATTAAAAAATTATTTTTTATATATTAATAAAAAAATTTTTTTGCAAAATTTTAGTATAAGTTATATTTTATCAAACTCTAATTTTAATCTTAATTTAATTTTAATTAAAAGTTTTATTTTTATAAAAAAAGATTGTTTTAGTTTATATATTATATTAATTATATGTTTATATATAAAGTAACACAGTATTATAATTAAGACCTAGGGCATCTGCAGGAATGGCAGCAGCAGGTTTGGTTTGAGATATGGATTGGTCAAAAAAACCAATGGCAGCAGCTAATCTGGCTTAAGATACGGGTTCATTGTAGATTCTAGACTATTGTCAGAATATCTTAGAGGAATTAATAACAGGCAAACCAAAGATGAGAAGATCATAAGAATCAGACATACCTAAGTAGGACCAATTTGGAAGTGATACAGTGACGAAAAGGTGGGAAATATGAGGAACAAGGTAATACTAGATATAGTTAGATTAGAAGGCAGAAGAAACAAGACCAGATAAAACATGTGAGTGAGACATATGAGTACGATTTACAGAAGACAGTACCCCTAACATTTGGAATGCCACATTAAGTTCAGTAGATATCCTTGTCTGTGTAGTGGTTTAATGTATAACATGACTGCAAGTGGTTGCTAAGATAACTGTGTGCAGGCACGCAGCGGATATGCACTTAGGTGCCATAAGGGTAACCAGGTAAAGTCAGTAGTATTAAATTAGATAGTATATAGTACTAGTAATAATCAATCCTAAAAATGTAATCATAAATTGTACTATATCAAATTAAGACTAATAAAAACCAACTAGCATTGTCGCCAAAGTTCAAAAAACAAAAAAAAAAAAAAAAAAAAAACTATAGTACTATAATAATATACTCATATTTTATTATATATTATATTTTAATAATTTATATATAAAACAAATTAAGATTTTTATTTTAGTATAAATTATAAAAATATATTAATAAAAATTATTAAATAATTTTAAAATTTTAAATTATATATATTTTTGTTTTTTTATTAATTTTATTTAAAATATTATTATTAATTTATTTAATAAATATTAATGTTTATATATAGCTAAAATATTTAATTATTTAAAAATATTTTTTATGAATTTTTTTTAAATAATTATATATTGTAACTATATTTAAAGATTAAAAATATATTAGATAAATCAAATAATACTGTTTTAAATAAAAGTAATTAAATAATAAAAAAATATATTTTTTAATATTTTGAAATAATTTAAGAGGTAGATTGCAGATCATAGGTATAGATTTCATATGACTTTATGGTGAAGATCAATTATAACGAAATTCCAAAATGTTATTTTAACCTCATAAATAAAATAGTGCTATATTTAAAAAATTAAACATTTGATCTTCAAATTTGATAGAACATGACTAATAGAAACAATGATTTAAATAAAATTTTCTTTTACTATATAAGTTACTGACTCTACTTAGTAAAGAACACACATTTGAGTCAAATTTTTAAGGTATTTAAAATAATTTTGATCTCCAATCTTCAAAAAAAACTAATTTTTTTTATTTATTTTCAACCAAGTATGTGAGTTTACTAAAATTATTCAGTATCATAAAAAAAAAAAGGTAGAATTATTTTTTTTTTGTCATGTCAAAAGTGATTTTTTTATGTCAAAATTTTACAGATCTATATTAGTAAGAGTAATAAAAAATAGATTTGTTGGCATCTTAAAGAAATACTTGCTAAGATTATATCTCACTTTCTGTCAAGTATTATATATGAATGCTGCCAGAGAACACTAGACTTTGATTTTTAACTCTACTTATTGGACTCAAACCCAGAAATCTAATTAGCTGCATATGATTAACATGATTAATAGATGTTATTTATATGATATATTATGGTATTAACATTAAGAGTTCTATTGATTGCATATTAATGACTAGAGAATATATCATTGAAATGAATGAAAGATTACTTGTATGCATCCCTTTACTGTATAGCACTAAGTATTAATCAGTAATGATTATTTAGATTATCCTCCTACCTTCCAATATCTGGAGAGTATAATTCAATCTAGGCTGGCTTTTTTGAAAAGTACCTAGGGTTAACTGTATGCAGCACTGAACAGTAATTCCATTTCATAAATCACTAATCAGGTTGTCTGAAATTGAGTCCAGTTATTTATAAAAAAGATCAGTACCTGATTTTTTTTTGGTGGTCTCATATATAACCAAAAATTCATAGTCTCGAATAGAATACTTATTATGACTAATTTCGAATATAAGTAACCTCTTTTTGAATATTAATATCTAATAATTTTCAGAATTATATAGTGGTTTTAGGAAATTAGTATACCTTTTGGTACTGGGACTAAAAATTTCTGTTCTACAACACATGCTAGAACCAAAAGATTTTTGATCGAGCTAAGTTATATACAAATATCACTTTATTTTTTTGCTAATCACATATGTGGTCTTTTGTTAACTATATTTTATACTTTAAGCACTTTAACCCATCAGGCAATTCATAAATATATCTTGAGAATATAGACTAGTATTCGATAACATATATTTGGAAGATAAATTTATTAAATTTTGTAAAATTCACTTTTTTAAAAAGGTTGAAAGGATTAACTAGCATTTGTGGAATATGTGAAGTTTTTTTTTCTTTTTTTTTTTAATTTTTGCGTGTAGTTTGAAATAGTTAATGTAATTTTGTGTAAGAACATCTTAGTTGTATTTTATAATACTATACATTATAGAATCAAATAAAAACTTATTTCATGTATTATTATGATATTAAAATAACCTTAAGAATATTGATTTTGAATATTACAAATTTTAGAATGTAGTTTTTAGTGATTGTGTTGAGTTTACATTGCTAAGTGTACCTATTGTGTCAAATACTTTGTAACATTTTATGCGTCCATAAACAAAATGACTTTTTTTTTTATTTTAATAGAATAGAAAATAAAATTAGTAAGATGGATTAAAATAATGCTTTTGTGAAATTGTCATGTTAAATAAATTTATAAATATATTGCATTAAATTCATGTAAATAAATGATTTGAAAGATAACTACATTAAAATTAGGTTTTAAAATGATTTCATTTTATTTTCTGATCCAAATTCATTAATTGGAATGTTTGCCTATTTATTTATAAATTTATATTTTATTTACATACACTATTCTAGTATACTAGTGGTAATGAACGAATGCCACTTTTGTTTATATTTTAAACTCAATTCCATTTAGTTAACAATAACCAACTTGAAACATTCCAATAGAAACTTCCATTTCAGTAGTTTTTTGATAATAAATGAAAGTTTTATGTTCATTATTCTCAACCTACTTGATCTGTTTTAACAGAAAATAAGACTTAGATGTGACATTTGATATTTAAATAATAAAATGCAAATGTAAATATATTCAAAGTTCACCATTTGAGGAAAAGCCATTGGCATTGAATATCTCAAGTGCAATTAATGTCCCTTCATGATAAAATTCTCTAGAATATCTACCAATCCAGTTATGAATTGTAGATACTTGGAGTATGTCATTATTATCAATTTCTTCAGATTGTACGAACTCTTTAAGTTCTATATGCATTTCTTGAGCTGTCATCTTGTCTTTAAAATTCATATTCCTATTTAAAAAAAATGCTTTAGCAACATAACAACTTTTGTTTTAATCTTTTTTTCTACATCTTTTTTTCTGAATTTTGAATTTTTCAGAAATGCCATCCTGAAGGCTTTTTAAATTCATCCTCAATGTTTCTAGACAAGAGTCATGTTAGTTAAATGTGAAATAATCTCAATAAATTAAGCAAAGGTTCTACAAACCTATTCCAAAAATTACCCATCTCTGCTAATTTTTGATAATAAACAAATGCATCTTGTTCATTCTTTTTAATTCCAATTCTATTGGCATTTTCTATTTCAGCAGATTTCTGAGAATGAATGAATGCCTTTTGTTTATCTATTTTAACACCAATATTATGAACATTCCTCTTAACTTCTTAATAGCATCTTTTAAAAATCTTATATCGATTTTCTTAAACAAGAGAATGAAATTTGGCAACAATCCAAATTTGACCCTTCTTTATTCTATAAAAATAGCAAATATGAAGCATCTTTTAACAAACAAATTCCAACAACTTTACTTGACAAACTTGCAACTGAGGCAGAAGACTCTGCTTGCAAAGCCAATAATGTCCAAACCAATTTTAAATACTGCAACTATTATTTCTATTTATACTTAAACCTTTATCAAAACATTGCAACTCAAAATCATAATATAGATAAGTTAACAAACAACAGGCAATAGATATTCCTATAACAAAACCTATTAGTACTGAATTTTTTGCAAGAATCTTGACCTTCTATCATTCTTGTAATAAAACACTTACTTATCTTCAAATTGCAAACTATTTTCGAGAAATAGCCTATTCTGAAGCTAACAAAATCATACAAAAAAAATTTCAAATGAAATATGAAACACCATCCTTGATTACAGAGTCTCTCTTTATTAAAGAGACCCTTTTTCAATAAACTTGTCTTCTACAATCTTCATAAATGCAGCCACCATCTTACTAAAAGATACATGCATAGTAGTTGGTAAGAAAAATAATGTAAATGGGCAGGTGGTAAAGCCCATTTATGCAGAAGGCCAGAATAATAACAGTCAGACCCAATGCACAGGGCAGACTATGATACCTTGCATAGCTGTAAGAGCTGAGCATATAGTGATCGACTCTGTAAAAGACAACTTCACAAGATTATTTTAACATCTTTAGCCTTATATAATCTTGAAATATGTTACAACAAATTTTTTTTCTATTACAATATTCCTCTTTTTCCTTGCAACCAAACTATTCAAACCCTTATATAACATATCGACAAGTATAACTCCAACCAAACTGTTATCAGCATCACATTCTCTGTTAATATTAATTATAGTGAAACTCATATATACTTTTCCAATGACTTACTTCTACCTAATCACATCATTATTCTCTCTTATCTTCTTCCTAAATTTTACAACCTTCTTCTCAAATTACACTTTTTTAATTCTAATTCTACCTTATCAGATTTACTTATACAGAATACACATAATTTATATCTCAAAATCACTACACATAATGTTAGAGGTTTTAACACTATAACTAAAAGAGAAGCATAGCAAAACTATTGTCTCTACAACAATATTAACATTGCTTGTATTACTGAAACCAAACTTGCTAACAACAATAACCTTTATTTTTACAATAATAATCTATTTACATACTTCTGGGCTAATTCAGACAATTCAGCTAAAGGTGCTGCTATTATAATCTGTAAATATTTACAACCCCATATATATAACTGCCAAACACATCTTGGTGGAGCAGTTACTCTGGATCTTTTTTTCAAAAGTGAAACAAAAATGCATATTATAGCTGTTTACCTTTCTTCAACTGACATGCACAAACATAATGAAACACAAAATACAATTATTACATAGATCCAACAAGCTTAACAACTTAACCTCCATCCTATCCTACTTGGTGATTTTAATACACATGATAACATTAATAGTTCATCATCTAAATTATGACTCATTAATTATCTACATTAATTCAACATGTTCGAACTTGGTGCACATGTAGATAATAAATATTACACATAGTCAAACAACATTAGTCAAAGTTGCATTTACTATATCTGAACTGACTCATTTAATATTCAATTCTTTCTTTCATATAAACTCGATGATAGTAATTCTTCTACACTTAGTAACCACTCTATCCTTATATCTACTTGGACTTATACAAATGCATACAGCAAACCACTACGACATCATACTGGTATCAGCTATAGAATTTTTAACTACAAGGCTATGTCATTAGAAAAATAAACAGAATTTTCAAACCTTCTTTCTTATAATCTTAATCTACACAATACTTCACTTAATAGCAATACTAATGAAAGTATTGAAACTACTTGGCATAAAATTAAACATGCAATCATTAATACTGCAGCACACTCAATTCCTAACAAAATAACTTGAAAATGCAGCTACAACTATCAATACTCCTTTCATTCTATATTACTTTATTTATTACTAAAAGAGCTTGGACATTTAATCAAAATTGTTAAAAGCTTTGACAATCTTAATATTGAACTGATCAATATTAAAGTTCAAATTATTAACAATAGATCTAAATGTAATCTTCAAGCTTTTATCTTAAATAATAATATACACAGCTGGATTCAACATGTACAATATATATAGAAGCAACTCTATCATGCTTGTCATGTTGAAAACTCACTATTACTCTAACAACAAATACATCAAGCAACTGAAAAAAGATGTAAAACTCTTTTAACACATCCCAAACAAGCTATCAATAGTATTCTTAATCATTACAAACCTCCAATCTATTTTTCTAATATCAAACTTCCTGACCAACTAATTACTAAACCAAACCTTATCAAACAATATATACAATCTTACTTTCTCAACTAGATAGCACATCGATCAATTGATCAAAATTTGTTTGATAACTTTTGGCATACATAATACCAACTCCAATCACATATTAATACTCAGTGGTATAATTTTCTTAACTCTTGTATTACAGAAGAAGAAGTTCTTCAAACTATATCAAAACTTCCAAATAGAAAAAACTGTAGACCTACAGGTATAAGCTATGAAATGCTTAAACATACAAGTATTACTTGTATTAAAGCTATCACTGCTTTATTTAACTGCTATCTTACTTCAAGCCAGATTCCTAAACAATAGAAACACAATAGAATATATTCTATTTCTAACATAATACATTTAATGATGACTTAAATCTTACTCACCCTATAAGTCTTATTGAACATATTTGAAAAGTGTACACAAAAATTATTTTTACTAGAATTAGTACTGTGTTCTCACAACATTTTATTCTATTACTATATAACTATGTAGCTTTATCTAACAACAGCACATCTATACCTATTCATATACTTAATAATCTCATCAAGGATGCATCATGTAATCAAAAACCAATCTGGCTTATGTCTTAGAACATAAGCAAAGCATATGATTCTGTTAATCTAACCTTACTTCAAAGTCTCTCCAATGTCTTGCCTTACCTAACTTTATTACTAACACCATTACCAACTTATTTACTGATCAACATAACCAAGTTATTACAAATCTTAGTCTTATCTTATTATATCCAGTACTTAATGGAATTGATCGGGGTGAAACTATTACTTCACTTTTGTGGAGGATTTATTATAACCCACTTATTACATATATTTATAACAATTTTAAAGGCTATATTATTCAAGTCTCCTGGCCTACTAATCTTAAACACAAAACATACAACAAATCCAACTTACACTGTTCAGTTCTTGCTTATATAGATGATACTCTATAGGTTGCATCCTCATAACAAGAGTTATCATAAATTTTATCAACAGCTGAATCTTTCTTTAACATGGCTAATATTCAAATTAATTCTTCCAAGTCCTTACTAACAACTAACAACATCTCAACTGGCTATACCCTTATTATATATAATAACTATCCTCTAAACCTTCATCCATCAAATGAACCATTTAAATTTCTTGGATGTTGGTTTACACTTAACAACAAACAAATT